ATATCCGGGTTTTTTAGTTTACTTTTCCCACTACTTTTACTATTGCCTCGCAGCTTGTGCACGGGGTAACACTGAAATGGCTTCATATTGCGTGCTTCTTTCTTTTTTCTTTTTTCTTTCTTTTTCTTACCTTTTTTAGTTTTGCGATTCATGCAACAATTTTTTTTTTTCTTTTTTTGGATATCGATGTATGTCTATCTCAAAATGAATATAAGGTTTAATTTTTTCGTGTAACTCTTGGACTTAACTTGAAAAATGAGCGAATTATATATATCGCTCTATGTCATCGTTAACTATTCGAACAGATGGTCTATCCCATGGAAAACAACTATCGTTATACTATTCTTAACTAATACCCCCMAAAAAAATCGCAAAACCTTTAGACTCAAAGAAAGCTTTGCTATTTGCTTAACATAATATCTTTAAAACCGGCTCACTATCCAACAACAAACAGTGGTTTTTTTCTGTTGGAAAGTTATAATTTGTAAGTGAGAACTAGAGAGTTGTCTTGAAGAGTTTGATGAAATAAAAAGAAAATGTAAAAATCTTTTGCTATTTGGCTCTTTTTACTCAATAACAAATAAAGGGAAGTGTTGTCGTGGGAAATCGTAATTGAATTGTCAAAAGGGTGTTGGACTTTTGAATACGATAAAAACTCCGTAGAAATACATATGGAGAGTTGCTAAAGATTATTACAAAGTTCTTTTCTTTGTTACGATTAAATTCGTGTGAAAATTTTCTTGTCTGGCGAAAGGAGAAAATCCCACGATAAGCCGGGATTATTATCATTTTTCTGATTATAATCCCTGCCCTTGCAGTTCCTAGTCTTCTTATGCTGGAAAGATTGTTGGAATTATCTTTTATTGAACTAAAATACTTGCTAATTCTACCTTAAATCTTCCTTGAAATAAAAAAATAAAGCATGCAAAACAGTGACAGCGAAATGGCTTTCGAATTCAACCACTGTGATTGGTTGTTATAAGCTCTTCCTATTTTTGATTGGTTGAAAGGAAAACCATTTGAAAGTCGCATGTTTTTTATTCACATACAAACAGAACTCGGCTGAATCCTTGGAAACAGTTATATTCAAATCAACAATACTTAATTGAAAGGTGCTAATTTCTTTAATTAACACCTTACAACGAACAGAATGAAGGAGTGAAAAATAAATCAAGAACGTCAGCATTTGAATTCCAGGCAATCTGAAAAAAGCGCACACTATGCATTATTGATCTCCTGAAATTATTTAGAATTCAAGTGAAAATGAAATTTAGGGTTTTTATTTCATTGTTTTCCGATTTCACATTTTCACTAAAATTGTTAAAGCCGGTTAGTTTCGCAAAATTTAATCCAAACTGTTAAGCGATATTTCAGTAATTATGGATGATAATCTATTTATTCGTGATTGCGTTGATTGGAATTGTCGTTGATTAGAATTTTTTTTAAATAAATAAAATTGGGCAAAGAGACACATAAATAGATGCCTCAATTTTTAAGTCAATTCTTAAATAAGCACTCGCCTATCACGGAAAACCTCCAAAACATTACGAACACCTATTAAAAACGAATTGCACTCGAGTTTGTGCGATTTCCTACATACAAATTTGTCTACTTCAAGTTAGATAATTTTAAGGACTAAGTACCTGTAATTTGACTAGTCAGGGCAAAAATTAAAGCTAATCTGCCTCATGCTGTAATCGCTATGATCCGCTTAAAATCATTCCTTTCTTCATATTAAAACTTCGTAAATTTCACTGAGTTCAAAGTCGCAGTGTATACCTAGAAATTATTGACGATATATTTTCGAGTGTTAGAGATGGCTTAATGAGTCCAAGTTTCTTTTGGCCCTCAATGCACATCAATTAAGTTAAATCGATCATTGAACGAGGGCAACATGTTTGTTAGCCACTGGCTATTAATAAGTGCTACCCTCGTAAAAACAAGGACGATTTCATTATTTATCTTGTTTTTATCATTAAACACAGACATAAGAGAGCTTAATGAAAGATATTAAAGGGAATTACCAAGATTTGTGACGCTATATTTTTAGATAAAAAATATTACTTTAAAGTGATGAACAGGTCAGAGTGTGTTGTTTGCCGTGGTTGAGGAGGAGTGTATGTGAGATTTAGTCGTTGATTGAGGTTGATCATAATTGAAAAAGAAACAAGCGTAGACGACAAGCCAGTGTTTATTCGCGCGGGGAAAAGCCGGTGTTTATATGTGAGAGGAGAGGAGAGGAGAGGAGAGGAGAGGAGAGGAGAGGAGAGGAGAGGAGACGCTCAGTTTAAACGCATCCGAACAAATAAATTTGTTAATGCATGTCAGTTGAGGATGATGAATGCGGAATACGTTCGTTGTGTGGGAGGGTGCATTTCAAACGATCAGTCATATATCATCCTTTCACTATTACTAAGAAAATATTCTTCCGATAGTGCTTTACAAACACGGAAGATGGTTATTAACGTAGTTTCTTTACAAAGTGATTGCAGTTGTTTAGTGTTTTACACCTTGAAAACCTGAATGGTTATCCGAGCAATACCTTTTCAGCGATTTTTCTTTTCAGTTTACTGCACTCAAAATTACATGTAAACAGGATGCGCTCGCAAACGTTTTCGTTAAAATTATTAACGGGAAAAAAGTAATCTTGCTGTAGGTGCATCACTTCCGTTAGATTCTAAAGGACTACACTCAATGACAAGAGGAAGATAAAAAGTTGAAAATTCAAACTTCTTAACCTGAAATTTAATGCTGATTTCGAAAATGCAAAGAACAATGGGGTGCCCCGAGCTTGTTTTTGAGATAATCACTCCGGAATGACCTGCGTTTGTAAAATTTTTGAAGAAGAAATAGCGAAAATCAAGCTCTGTACAAAAAAAAAAAACAAAAAACAAAAACAAAAAAAACACATAAAACCGACAATAAAGAAGAAACGTGAGTAATTTTCTATAATGGGATATTACCTGTTATTCTGCAAAATAACAAAAAAATATAGACTCCCGTTCAAAATTTGAGGGTATGTCCCGGTGTTGGTGACTCAAAAAGGGGGGAAGTATAGACAAATTGATCCTATTCACATGCACATCACTTTTACACTAAGTTAAATAGAAAACAAGGAAGGGGCCATTTTTCATACAACAACGGAAATGGAGGTGACCACCCGACCCCACCCTCCCTTCCCCTTTCCCACAAAAATAAACGGTCCCTAATGGTCGTTTTGCCGTCCTCCAGAAACTGCCTTTCTTCCTTCCACTGGGAGCGCTGCTTGGCATGTGTGGTCAGTACGTTTGCTACTTCATTGACAATGCAGTTCAGCTGGAGGTCCAGATCAAGTGGCTTTACATCACACTGAACGTAGCCAGGATTATCAGTCTATTCCATATTCTGTACGGCTATATCCTATTCCTCGTTCTCCTGCTATTTGTCATGTATATTACAGGAATTTCCATGAAAGAATTTCGAGGTTTGTATATGGTGTAAATAGTGTTCCTTGCTACTCGTCACGCAAATTTGTTGCACGATATGAAAAACGACAGTGCGTTACAGTTCCACCGAGAGGGTAGTCACACTAGGCAGTGTTCCTTATTACTTGTCACGCAAATTTGTTGAGCGATAGAAAAGAGCAGTGCGTTACTGTTCCACCGAGAGGGCATGTTACACTAGGCAGTGTTGCTTGTTACTTTTCACGCAAATTTGTTGCGCGATATAAAAGAACAGTGCGTTACAGTTCCACCGAGAAGGTGGTCACAGTAGGCAGTGCATTCATCCTTAGTGAACTGAGGCGATAAATACGACTCTTTCTTGGTGTAGCAAGGCACCTGAGCCATGAAGACAATAAAACAATAGCTGAGAGCAATGAGTTTGGAGCTAAACGTTACCTTACAATACGACAAGAACGGCAACTTAGAATACATTAAATCTTGCAGCACCAAAAAAAAAACATAAATTGGCTGTTCTGATAAAATATTAATGATGTCAACAAATCGTTGCGAGACAAGCTGTAGGAGAAATGTTAGACTAGGTAGGTAGTGGCCATCCCCAGTTAATTGATATAATTCATTTCGTTTTGCATAACAGGTGGTATTGAAGGAGAATTCAGAGAGAAATCTGTTCGTCTGACCTTCCGAGAAGCAGTCCAGATCTTTGAACATCGTGCGCAGTTCATTAGACGATCATCTAACGCTTGCTTGGTAAGTTGCTCCTCGCAATTGGGTTTTAATAACCTTGGTTCCTTGGGACTCAGGTAATCAGTCCCAACTCTAATTCACACTATACTGAAACGTCTCGATCGTGATAACACTAGGATTGATAGGTCTAGCTTTGTTGTTATCAAATTAAGGTTTTGGCAGCTCCAAAGCCACTATAGGGTTAAACACATGGTGAAATGAACTACTTCAACTATAAGGCGGCCATCTTGCCAGGGGGCAAAACAAAACAAAGATGACGAAAAATATATAGGGTTGATGTGGTTGATGTGCCGTCTTAATTCATCTTTTGCTGTATTCTCTTGTGATCTTCTGTTAATATCAATCGACGTCATTACTGTAACAAAGCTTTAATTGTTCCCCTGGACGCCCCATAATGCCTTGCAATCCAAGATGGCCGCCGTATCGTCAAAGTAGTTTATTTATGCTTTTGAGAGGGTTTAGGAGAGATATCACACTTTTTCTGCAAACAAAAAAAACTACAAATTTAGGAAAGCTGCATCGTATTTCATTGGCTGAGAACATAATTTTCTTGCCAGCAATGTTTCAGGTGATCGTTGCAGGTCATGTTAACACGATTAGAAACTTGTTGCGCGCAAAAACGTTACGAGGAAATTTCGCGGTTGCACGGCACGGTAACGTTGCGCGCAACAGCTGACTCCAAGCGATAAGGGGTAGGGATGGCTTAAAATACAGCATGACTGATATGCGCTAATTCATATATACCACCTTTGTGACTGTGCTTTGTGTCGACTTTGCAGTTCATGCTGGTCAACCTAGTTCTAACCACAGCTTTATCCTTCGCCATCAACGCGTATAATTTCCTCTTCCTGAAGCGTTTTGCGATCTACCTGTGGTTCGCACTAGTGCCCATGATCTGGAGTGTAACACCGCTGACTGTAGCAGCGTGGGCTACCGAGACGCATCACAGTTACGTCGCCTCGGTCGTGAAGAGCTGGGGCGAGCATCCCGCTTCAGACGAGAGTGAATCAGAAGGCGAAGAGATGGATGAATATCACGAGGCAATGAAAAAACTGAAGGTGAACAGGTCTAGAAGTGTGCTTATTGCGAGTACCAATCTATTGAAGTCACTACAGAGAAAACGACTGATACTTAAGAAAGACAGGAGACTTTCTCTCGCAGCGCAGAGGCGTGAATCTCTCGCTACTACTGAGGAGTTAAACATTCCTGGCCAAACAGAGTTCAAACCTCTTCCTAACAACTTCCAGGTATTGACTTCCAATCTCGATAGCTTCGGCACACCGCCCATTTCGAACTTGTATAACAATACCATAACGACTCAAGCGCCTACGCCTACTCCAAATAAGGAGAGAAAGTCGAAGTTCAAATTCAAGTCTTACGTGTTATATTTACAGGGTCTTATTCCCAGTACTGGCTTTTCTATTGGTGGGATCATACTCACGTGGGAAAAGGTTTCCAATCTCGCCATCTTATTGGTTTCTATCTTGGCAGTCTTTATTCAGGAGATATTGTTTGGAAGCCGGAAAAGTACACTGTTAACGTGATAAAGCTGGTGTCTCTATGTAAAATAAAAACAAATCGTCCTTATTTTACGAGGGTAGCACTTTATAACCAGTGGCTAGAGCGCATAGCAYATGTCCGTGAAACACTGTGAGAAAATGCACAAATAAGTAAATTTAGTAGCCCTCAGTAAACCGTAAACTTACAAAACTTTGCACTAATTTGGACAATTTGGTTGGTTAACTTTTTTACGGATATATGGTATGCACTCTACAATTCTGTTGCCCTCATTCCATGATCGAATTAAACTACAGAGAATGTTTAGTGCTCCAGGATAAAACTGAGTGGTCAAGAACTGGGGAAAAACAACACTTACGATAAGACAACTATTGAGACTACCATGTCTGTCTTAACACTTTGCGAAGCACACTGCATGGTTTCAACGAAGGTAGTTGCGTTAAGAGAGAAAAAATGTGATACAAACGGAAATGTCCCAGTACTTTTGGGTGTCGTTACTGAAAATGCACCCGGCTTACGCGAAGACCCTAGTGGCTTTATACATTGGTTGGTATTAGGGGAGGTAGTCAGATGTTGCGCAAATACGTGTTTTGACAACTTAAACCTTTCGATTTGCAAGAAGCGGAAAACTTGACGAACAAAGCGTTCTTATCGATATTCAGGGCGGAATCTAGAAATATAAGGAATAATGACCGATTCTGTTTATCTGAATCACGACTCAAAAAGGCTGCCTTTCTCGGGATAGCAAGATCCTTCTTGGCGACGCATTTTAGGAACAACCAAATGCATACGAAGAATGAATGGAAGGGTAGAAATAATTGTGAAACCGATACGACGAATAGTAAAAAGTAGAAARCTAAATGAAGGCAAACGTTTGTAATGGCGTTCAAAAAACTTGGTATTGCTATTGCATTTATGCGGAACAATAATCGGAGCAAGTATAGACACGCAGCACACTCATTTTAATGCAAATAATAACCGTAATAGCTATACAACTATACGATAGATAACCATAATAAAAGATTGATATTTAACACACACACACACATATATAGCATTGCACTGTTCAAGCGAACGCCTACTGCACAGGTACAGTAGAGTGCATACCATATGTCCTTGAAAATCTTTGCAAGATATTCCACAAATTTCCACAAAATTACTAAGTTCAGTAGACCTCAGTAGACCGTAGACCTACAAAACTTTGCACTAATTTGTGCAATTTTGTTAGCTAGCTCTTTCACCGATATATGGTATGCACTCCAACTCATTCCAAATCAACGGATTGACATTTAACATACGCATATAGCATTGCACAGTTCAGATGAACGTTTTGTGCAAGAGTACAGTATAAAGCGCCAGTTAAACAAAAAGATCAGATATAGCAAACTACTGCGCATGTCTGGTATTAGGATTGATCCCAGACCCCTATATCAGTCACTGCGCATGCGTAGAGCATTCGCAATAAGTGTACTAGAACCTAATGAAGGACAACGCGATCAGCAATTGAAGCATAAATTAACTATATCTACCAAGGCACTTTAACACTGTTACCTACTAATAAACTATTACTTACTAAATAATTCATTAATTTATTTTAAATATAAAATTGTTAAAGTATCGGTGTTCCTAGGCAACGTCTCGTAATAATAAAGTCATTCAGTTATAATTCTCGTAGTGAACATTCAACTCTTAGATTTGTAAATAATATCGATTGGTATTCCTGTGGAAATCTACAGGAAGCCCAGCAGATAAAAGACTCGTGAAATCTGGAGCTGAATGCAGGTCGACACTGATTTATTTATTTGGCAGTATAGAGGTTTTGCACCATCACGTGCATACGCCCATAATACAGCTTGGGCTGCCTGTGGTTTGATGGCAGAACGGTAAAATCCCTTTACTCTCGGGAATTGAATTCTTTCTCATATAAAAAGGATTGTATTGTTGCTGCCGTCAAGTGATGGTGCAAAACCTCTATTTGGCTTGGGTCTGACACTCGTAGAGAAACTGGTGCACGTGAGCCAGGAATGTTTACTCGAACGACGTCTTCAAAATTTACTCATAACAGTTAAAATAGAGTCACTCTGTAAACGGGGCAGTATTTCTAAAGGATTGAGACCAAACCGTGAACAGAAACCTTTTGAATACACCGTCTCATTGCGTCTCATTTTTAACAAACTTTGTAGGTTAGAAAAAACCCTGGTCTATCTAAGTTGACACTACGAAGAGAAACAGAAGTAGGTCGTGAAGAATTGAAGGCCGAACGAGATATAGAATAAATATAAATGTGTTAGCTAAAAAATATGAAAACGATGTAAAAATTCGTTTGGATCAAAAGTGCGTTCCCCAAATGGTATTTTACTAAGATTATTAAATTACTAGATTAGATTAGATCAAAGATATATACATTCCTGGGCAATAAAAAAATCGTTTACCGGGATCAAAGGTGTGTCCCTCTAGAGTATTCTACTAATATTATTAAATACTAGACTCAATGAAAGATATATACAATCAATTATTGATCAATAAAATCCTCTTATCGTCCCCCTACCCTCCCCTCCCCCTCGTTATTACCTTCCGGAACAAGATAGCCAAGGCCGCGCCACCAATCGGAACGAATTAAAGGACCCCTGAAATATTTGTACGTATTTCTTCTATTGATCAATGCTAATAGAAAAATAATGACTATGAAAAGCCAATATCTTGACTAAAAACAAACAGGAGGCCCAAGCTAGGTTTTTTGTTGATGTGTACAAAATTGTCAAAGTGTAAAAATAAAACTTTAACTTGGGCTTCCTGTGAAATTCTATTTACCTATCACTTGAAATCAATCATCCCTGATTCACTAGCCTTGTCTAATCTGAGTATCCCACATTCTCAGTCACTGGTCAGAAGACGCCTTGGCTTGGGGTTCTTGTGTAAAGTATTTTTTTCCCATCTTTAGACCACATGTCATTCCCCAGAGCATTATTTCTTTGTTTAGCGGTTGCACATGAAGTGACACATGAATATGGATACAACTCAAACAAAGAATCCTATTTTCAAGAGAATGACACGTAGTCTGAAATGGCAAACATCACACCCATGCAGAAAAGATTTGATAAGCCCGGTTACACTGGCGATTTTTGCTGCGATTTTTGTGAAAATTTTCGGAAATATGAAATCTTTTGTCTCATCCTTCAAAAGAGACATTCGTCTCGTAAATTCTTTACCATTATCTATTATGGACAAAATCGCAAAAAAATCGCAGCAAAAATCGCCCCAAAAATTGCTAGTGTAAACGGGGCTATAAAGATGCACTAGCCTTGTCTAATCTAGATCCATGTGAATATCCTTCACACACGTTGTACACATTCTCCTACTAGCCAGAAAGCGGTTAATTAGCTCATCTCTTTCAGCGAGTTCTCTTTGTAGTTGTTCTTTCTCGGCAACCTGTGTCTCTAGTTCCATGTCCTTCACCAGAAGAACACTCTTTAGTTCCTCGATTTCTTTTGTTTGCATTTCTATTTTTTCGCCCAGCTGCTTGCATACCTTGGAAGAGAGTTTGACCGACACGTTAGAACACTGCAGTAGTATAAAATCCCTGTTATATGTTGAAACTTTTATCTGAAACTTGCATGTGTTTAATGGCGTTGCGAGAGAAGTGTCATGGGTTGGGGTGTTATACGGTGCAATTTCGTCCTGAAAACTTGTTCGCGGCACAAGTTACGGTTGCACGAGTAGAAAGCAGTTCTACTTTTCGTGAGACTTTCACAAGACTCAAGTTTCAGTAAAGAGTTTCAACGCGTAACAGGGCCTAAGTTATAGCATGATTTATATGACTGGGAAACAGCGCAATATACACGGCACGGGATGAATGACATCCTTTAAACCAATCATATAGCGCTCTTGGTCAGTCATCATCCAATCAGAAGGTTGCAACAATAAGCACAGCATGACCGCGGTACTGAATGGATAACAATTAATTAATGAGCCAATCACAATGCGCATGGGTAGAGCTCATCCAATCAGAGTGATGTATCAATGTATCACAGCACGGTACGGAATGGAGAACATTTAATTAATGAGCCAATCACAATGCGCATGGTTAGAGCTCATTCAAACGGAATGCTGTAACAATGAGCACAGCACGGTACGGAATGGATAACATTTAATTAATGAACCAAATATAATGCGCATGGTTAGTGCTCATCCGATCAGAGTGCGCACGTTATCGTCAAGCTCACGGCACGGTATACATCAAAATACTTTTACACCCATAAAAAATATGCTCTGTTATTGTGATAATTATACAAAGCGCATTTCCCCCAATTGCAATTGAGTGTTTGAACTTCACCAATCTCGTACCCAGAGCCCTCATTTCGTACTGCGCATGCTCGACGAAATAATTCATCTTATGAACCAAAAGCAGATATCAAAGAAAAAGGAGGGAAAAACAACAACAAAATAACAAGGAAACAGAAACAAAAATGTAGGTGTGTGGATAAGAAATAGATATTATATTTGTAATAACCATGYTGCACTTGATTACCTCACTCTTATCTTTGACGAATTCTAACTTCAGTATCGACTCGGCACTAGGCCTCTTGGAACAGTCGGCTGCTACCATCTTGAGGATTAATTCACTCTGATGAAATAAAAACCAATTGTAGTCAACTATAGTATAATAAAGTACTAAAGGAAAGTAAATACATAAATACTCGGGAATTAACATTGAATTTTTAGGAGTGGCTCTTCTTCCAATAAAGCCTGAAGCGAGATGACGTTTTGCCCCTGTCTCTAGACCATAATCCTTTTCACACTGCTTTTGTTCTTTAGTTATGACTATTGTTCCTGTATTCTCTAAGGAGTCAAAAATTTTAATATGAAAGAATTTTAAAAACTATTATGGTATAGAGTCGGGGGTAAAACGTCATCTCGCTTCAGGTTTATAGCATATCAAGCTTTGCTTTATATGTTAGTGTCGAAGTTGGAGTAGAGAAAGCTCACTCCATATATGGTATGATCAATCCCATATTTGGATTGCGCGGAAAAGCGGCAAAAAAAAGGCCGTCGTTTTATAACGCGCTCGACATTTTTGAAGAAGGAAAGAAAAGAAAACAAAGACAAAACTTTGGAAAATCGAGGAAGGATACGGGGACGATGCTAACTCGTGGGTCTGCCTCACAGACAACAGACACAGGGAAATACGACACTCAATGTTTGATATGGGATTTGGAAGCTGATTTTTACCGGGAAAGGAAAAGCCGGAGAACCCGTAGAAAACCCCTAGAAGCAAGAGAACCAACAAACAACTCTACTCACATATTACTAAAGAAAAGTAAATAGGACGTTTGCATGATGGCGTCCTTTGACTCCTACTACCAAGATGCTTCGCGAATTTTCTTTCTTGTTTAAATTTGTATTCCCTCATGAGAATAGTAAGACAATTGGTGCTAATTAACTGAATAAAAGAAAGTGTGCAAGGGAGTCTGGTAGTAGAGGTCAATGTCGCCATCGTGCAAACGTCCTATTGGTTTTCGGCAACAAGTTTTCACTCATGAGAACTCCGCTGGAATGTCTGTGTCAGTTCATTCCTTCTCAACCCACAGGGAGCCCACATAAAGAGAGTCATGAAGGAATGATAGGCTGAATGACAAGGGTTTAAGAAGATATACCTGCTTAGGCCATGTCGCTTTAAAATCCCCAGGCAGATTCCCCTGTCGAAGCTCTTTGATGCAAGTCACTCGCTCCATTTCCGTGGTAAAAGGCCAAAAAAGCTCAAATAATATTATACCCAGACTGTAAATATCAGCCTGTAGGAAGAGAAAAGATATTTTTTCTATTTTATAATTATGTTATTGTAAGTGCATAAGTGTGTGGGGCGCGCCTCGCCGGGACCTCGAGTCCGTTCACATTCCGGCCCCTAATCACGCTTGTTTGCTTATGTATTCCTCTTTTTGCTTTGCTTTAATTTGATTCTCCTTTGTAAGCCAAGCGTAATGAAAGCCTCTAAATAAAATAAATAAATAATCCTCCAGGAATTGAACTCTATGTTATGCAAAAAACTGTGCAGAAAGTTTCTATTGTTGTGTACACCAATATGGCTGCCTTGTTACGTGAGTGAAAACACTCTATAGAGCGTTTTCACGTGACGTCACAGCGGCCATTATGGGGTACCAAAACAATACATTTTCTATCCTCGGGAATTGAACTCTATTTTATGCAAAAAACTGTGCAGAAAGTTTATATTGTTGTGCACACCAATATGGCTGCCTTGTTTTCACGTGACGTCACAGCGGCCATTATGGGGTACCAAAACAATACATTTTCTATCCTCGGGAATTGAACTCTATTTTTATGCAAATACTGTGCAGAAAGTTTCTATTGTYGTGTACACCAATATGGCTGCCTTGTCACGTGAGTGAAAACGCTCTATAAATTACATACCATTTACAGCTAAAATGGATGCGTCACTAGGTAATGTCTAGTAATTGATTGGGCAATCTTGCTAATATTAGCAGAACTGGCAGAATTCGTGGTACACTGATAATAAAAATAAAAAGATGGTTTCTGCTTTTTTACCTTGTTGTCGTAGCTACTGTTTCGTAGCTGTTCTGGAGAGGCGTACGTACAGGTTCCTACACCAGCAGTATGAGCGTCACTTGCCAATGGTGAAGCTACACAACAAAGATAAAAAAATAGGCGCTGACGCTACGTCCTTAACGTGCTCCTTCTACAGTCATTCGTAATCTGCATTATACAGCCAGAGTGCGGTGAGCTAACTACTGAATAGACCCCTTACATGCGACGTCAAAGCAGCTCAATTTAAAAGACGAAACAATTGCCATAAAAATCGCAGCAAAAATCGCCGCAAAAATCGCCAGTGTAAACGGGGCTTAAATTAACCTGCCTTCCGATGTGCTGCAAGGGGTTTATAAGTCTGTTCTACTTACCAAAGTTGGGACAAAGTGGAGTGAGAGGTTCTATTAGAGTAGTCAAAGAACTACTAGTTTCTGGGTAGGCCACCGCATCTTTTCTCGCCAGACCAAAATCTCCAATCTTGACTTGCAGGGGAGGGGTGGTGTCTCCTTCGCGTTTGGTTAGAGCATGAAGAAAGATGTTACGAGGCTGTGATGGAAACAGGAAATCGAGTTTAAAGAAGAGTCACCCGGTTATATGGGAATCAAGGGTGGCGTAGAGTAAGTGCACTCGCTTCGCAAAGCAAACCACGTGACAAACAGAACGTGTTAAATAGTTTTTAGCTAGTTATATCTTTGTGTTAAATTGTTAGTTTGATAATAAGGCGCATGCGCAAAGCTCCTCCGTCTTATTACAGCATAATAAGCGTGTGTAACAGCTTTGACATCCAGATGCAAACACAATACGTCAATGTTTCAGTATTGCAAAGCATAGAAATCTATAAAAGGGGGGATGAGTGAGTGGGAGGGGTGTGAGGAGAGTGACTAACGTTTATCCAGACAAACTTTCTTTCGATTAACTTGAAGCTCTCGAAATGAATTTCTGGCAATTTGAGACGCCATTTTCCCACTATTTTCCCCTTACGGGTTTCCTGTGGTATTGGCGCGAGGTACCTGCGCTCGCAGCTTCATCACCTTAAGATTAACCTCCCTAAACCCCACTTAAGCTTACCTTTAAGTCTCTGTGCATCAAAGACTGTGAGTGGATATAAGAAACTCCGTCCAATATCTGACGGAAGATCGCCATACTAGCATTAGGCTCAATTTTACCCCCTAGGGGAAAAAAACAATTATATTTAAAAAATATTGATGTGGTAGTGAGTGAGTTTGTGTGGTGCAAACCAATCTTCATTGTTCACCCTATACGAGATATTATTATTAACATATTAATATCATTAATAATACTATTTTAAGCGCGGGAGATCGCGGATTCAATTTCCAGTCTAGACCAACACTTAAGGTATTAAGAGAGAATTCTTTTCGTATTCAAGCAGTGAGCGCCAAAAACTATTTTCTTGAAGAAAGGCTGTTGTACAAGGCTAAAATCTTGTTATTCAGAAAGTTCAGCTTGTTTGGAAGTGGAGATGACCAATAAAAGTGGAATCAAAGTGTTAACCCAAAGCAAAAATTTTATTCTAAAAAGGGGTTTAGGCCTTCATTTACTTTTCCATATATTTTCTATAAAAAAGCCTGACAAAGCAGCATTCTATCACAAATGCAACAAAACATCTTCATACAATTGAAAATACCGCTTCAAACAGGCATTTTATCATAGTACATCAGTTTCTAACTGTTTAAAAACGATTTTGAGTGTTAACCCATTTAACGAAAATTGAATCAAAACTCATACGAAAGTCTAGTTTTTGGTGCTTTTTGCCATTATTGCTCATTATTGGAAAAAAAACATTTCCTCTTCTTCAAGTCCTACCTTCGTAATTATACCTTAGAATGGCAAGACTTTCAAGAGGCTCGGATGGCTACTTTAAATGGTGTTCCCGTCTCTCCACCCTACAACATCACTAATGTCAGGGGCATCAATATCGGTGGAGACCAATATCTGGGGGGGACCACTGAAGACGTAAAGAAACCCTGGCAGTGACCACCCTCAGTACCCACACCTCATACTAACCAACTCTCATAAACTCATAGCTCATTGTAAGGCAGCTTTAATTATAAATGTATTAATAGAACAGGTGCTAAATAAATCACTATCAATATTGTTCATTTAAATTTTAAAAAAAGAAAAAATAATAGACTACGATATGTCTATAATGAACAAAAAAGTTCCCTATGTCTATTTCATTAGTTTTCATTATACGAAAAAATAAAAATAAAATAAAACAATAAATATAAAATACATTATTTATTTATCATTTAAAATTCATCGTACCTTTTGGTGCTTGCTTACGGTTACGGTTGAGCAACCAGTCTCTCAATGTAGTGCTACACAACTGCATCTGGATGAACAGCATCATCCCGAATGACGCCTAAGGAAAAAAAAATTGCCTTAAAAACAAGTCCAATAGATGACATGTAGACCCCCTGGGTTCCAGAAGGTTTTTCGGTAGTAGGTTTTGTTACGTTAACGAAGCCTATTTCTCTCCACAATATCGAAATCTACTATAGAACCGAGAAATGCTGGATCGAGAAAGGTTCAGGGAACAAATTTAACATAAGGTTAACAAGGTTAACAGAAATGAAGAATGTTTTCTCTGGTGCTGGAGCTAGATTGAATCCAGTGCAAAATAAGAGAAAATGTATGGCGGATTTTAGGAGCTTAAATGCCCAATATCTCTACAGTTTGCAACATCGTTAAAATTAGCAGAAATGTAGGCAATGTTGTGTGTTCTCTTCAAATATGAACATTTCAAAACTGAATTGATTTTGACGACGTCATACTTCGGATACAATACAAGCAAAGAATCTTATTCTCAAAAGAATGACAAGTGGTCTGAAATGGGAAAATATTACACAAACTAAAGGGTTCTATTGAAAGAATTATAATAGCTCAGTGGCCTGCTTCCTTACCTGTTTGGGTCCCAATGAAGGTGACTCACTTCTATCATTCAATAGCATCGAACCAAGACTGCTACTAGATGCAGACCTCCTCATCTCAGCCTGGCCGTTAGGATATGGTGCACAGGCCCCACGGCTAGTACTGGCACTGTTTTTTAGTTGAGCCGATGAATGGATCTTGCGCATTCCATTTCTCTCTGTTAAAACAATTGATAGAAATAAATTACTGTCGTACCTCAGACCCTCGATCAATACACTCATTTTCTTCGTTAATGTGACCTGCCTATCAATATTTCTGCAGGTCTACAAAAAGTTTGAATTTAGTCGTTTTCCAATCAAACTGTTCAATTGCATTCCTAAAGCCATGCGCATCTTATTCTTGAATTTTCTTAATGCTTAAGGTACCAGGGGGCCTTTTCGACCGATGCTCACTAAAAACGTCATAGCGCACTAACTATTCATGTAATGGCTACAAAAGTATACATTTTCTTAATGCTGAATAAACGCAGATTTCAACAATGACAATTATTTTTTGAACAATCTTATCAGTATTTCAAGAGTGCGATTTTTATAATTTTCGACCGCTCTTTTTCAAAAGTACCCGGAACACGGGAATTGTTTTGACTAGAAAATAGTTGACGTCACCGTAAAGAGCACAGTTTAATCTCCAAAACGGTGTCTCAGATTTTCGATAAACGCATTTGTTGTGGAAATATTTGTTCTCAAAGTTGATTGACGTGATTTTTACCTCTTTTACGCATAAATCATGAAATAACTTTAAAACGAGACAATATATCAAAATAGGAAAATTATAAGACTCGCACTCTTGAAAAACTGATAAGTTTAAAGTGCTTAAAAGTGGTTGCCTTCTCCCTATAAATACATTTTATTTTTGTACTTCTATTTATTTCACATATGCTTCATTTTTCCAGAGAAATTCAACCATTTTATAAGTGCTAAGAAAAGATTCAAGGTGACCTACGTTCCAGCCCTACAGGGCATGCTTCATGAGTAGAATAAATATAGAAATTAACTCAAGGGTATGCCAAATGACCTAAAATGGCCAAAAAATTAGATTTGCATTAACCCTTTCACTACTAGAGGCTAAAAGGGTCCAACACTGGCTCTTCCTGGAACATAATTTGTTTTGTTTTTTTCTTTAATTTCTCAATATCAAAATTAAAAATATGCCGTATTTACTCGAATAAGCGCCCAGGCGCTTATTAAATTTTTCACGTCTAAAACGGGGCGCTTATTCAACGGGAGGAAACGCGTACACAACTGTCAAAGTATGCTTTTCTTTTAATATCAGTGTTATACTACTACAACAGTACTGGTATTAGTATACTATAACGAAAAGAAACACTTATGTTAATTTTCTATATATTAATCGTGGTGTAAAATCAATTCTATCAACTTTACTCATGTGCGCGATTTAGTCAGATTGTAGCATTATGCACAATTCCTCGAATAAGCGCCCCCTTAATGTGCGAGGCGTTTATTCGGGACAGGCGCTTATTCGAGTAAATACGGTATGCTCAGTAGATATTGAAGACTTATGACACACATCAAAGCAGTTGATAGAATCTGATTGGTTAATACAATAGCCAACGTGTTTCAACACAGACGATTTGTCGTAGCAGCCGCTTTTGGTAGCTCTAGGAAAAATGTCACATTACTGCCGGTTGGCTGCTTTTGGCTGCTCAAGTAGTGAAAAGGTCAAGTAAAAGGGCGTTTTAATACCTGGTATTAGATTTTGCTTTTTTGTTGCCAGTGAGTCATCCTTCTCTTCAGCAGCAAAAACTATCCCACCGCTAGATGCATCAATAGATGAGTGTTCAAACACGATGCTGTTGCTTTGACTGCTGCTTTCATTGATCCTAAATAAAAATAAAAAATACTTCATTCCAAAACTAAACTGAAATCAAATATATCATCAAGACTGTATATTTTACTCGATGAATAGCTATAGTCCAAGACATATAGAGCGTTTTCACGTGACGTCACAGTGGTCATTATGGGGTAACAAAAACAATATCTATCCTCTGTGAATTGAACTCTATTTTTATGCAAATACTTTGCAGAAAGTTTCTATTGTTTATAGCTGCCTTCTCACATGATTGAAAACGCTCTATACAGGGCTTGAGAATGCATTTGCAAAAGTGAACTCGCAAATACAATTACCATTTTATTTGTCGTTATTTTAAGGGGGGGAAAACCTAACCACCCCCTCCCCCCCCAACTATGAATTTGCTACAGTATACCCCTAGTTACGGTGTGTTGATACATACCTATACACTCCATTCCTGGATGAAACCTCTTCAAGTTCACTCAGGCTGACTGGATGAGTTGACACCCCTGTTGAGCAAAAAACGTTTGTCAAATAAATAACAGAAGTACCTGATCAAAGAATTAAAATTATAAAGAATAGAATCCTTGGAGGAAGGTGCATGGGAGGGCTAATATCACAGCTACTATCCCATTCAGTATGAGCAATGATATCCTTAGTCTGAATTCATGCTACAGGCCCATAGTCTGCCTTAGAAAGGAGGGGGGGGGGTTGTTTTTTCATTTTGGGGACGTGGGGACATTTCCTGCTAAGATATATTTTTCTGCCAAAATATGCTGCTGCTCCACAGAAAACTCAACACATATTATGCAATATATTCTATTAAATTTAAGAGAGAATTTGACCAGTACAACACACATTTATTTTTTTGTTTACAAATAAGCGATTTGACAGATATTATTAATAAAAATACCAGTCACTTGAAAATGCAGAAACAAATGACGAACACTAGTACTAATACTCCCCCCCCCCCCCTCTTCCCCATCCAAAAAAGTATCTGGACAGACATTAGCAAACAATTGCAAGAGACTTCACTTACTTGGCATTGCAGCTTTGTTACACTGTGTTGTGACATACTCCAGCCATGCCGAGTGATATCCAACCACATTAACATGATTAAGCTTAGCTAACACCTTGACCTCACGCAAGATCTATGCAACAGAAACACGGATATATCACTACTCTACTCTACTACTCTACAACTCAATCTCAGATTTCAGATCTCTGACCAACAACGTTAACAAATACACTGTAGGTGTCTACCTTTGGAAAAAGGTCTGGGTCTCTAACAAATAGGTGTATACCTAACTAGACATGAAATGACTGTGTACCTTTAGACAAAGGTCTGGGTCTCTAACAAATAGGTGTATACCTAACTAACTAGACATGAAATGATTGTGTACCTTTAGACAAAGATCTGGGTCTCCCTCCTTTAGGGCTATTTTCTTTATTGCATACTCTCGTCCATCTAGTTTGTTTCCAACCTGAGAGTCAAAAGGAGTGACCACATTTCAAAATGACATGACCAACTTAAAGCGATAGTTAATATATTTTATTAATAACTGAAGAAAAACATGTAACCCTAAGCAGGACGTAGAATCATAATAAAGCATATAGTTACCTTGACAACACTACCAAATCCACCTTTTCCCAAGCGACCAATCTCTATGAATTCCTCTCCATACCTTGATCTACCAGTATGCCATTGCTCTTGTCGTACTGACCTAATGTTGGTGCAAAACAAATAAAAACACAATATTTAAGTAATGATCTTTGAATCAAGGCTCCACAGATAGGAATATACATACCATGGCAATGGGTTGTTTGGGTATTGTATGCTACTTTTTCTGAAGTTCTGTGGCCATGAAAGAGGAGCCTACAGGAAATAAAAGCATCATGTCAATAAAATGTTCTGTCATATTATAAAATATGTCCAGGCACGAAATTAACGCTTGCAAAATGCTGGTAAAATTTTAGTATTTAGCAAGGGAAAAAATTCAATTAGAAATATACGAATAACTGAAACAATCACACATATTTATAACCCAATCCGTCTGTCCTGGTGCCCTTGCTCAAACAAGGGTGGGATAGCAGTAATGCACCGGGCTCTCACCTCTGGGGTCTCAGGTTGAATTCCTGGACTTGGAATCACATGTGAGTAGAGTTTTTTTAGGTCTCTTCCTTGATTTGATAGGTTTCCTCCCACTACAATTAAAGCCTAACAACTGTTGTGCATGCCCTGACTTTGATAAGCTTTAAGTGATTGTACCAGGGTATTGATAAAATTTGAAAGCTTGACTGATCCCCTCATACTTATTTCTCATTCCTCATTCCCTAGACCCTCCCCATCGATCAGACTCTCCCTCACTAAGACAGCTCCTAAAAATCCTTCCTAATTGCCACTCATACTAATATACTGTTCCCAATCCTTCTACCTCTTCACCTAGCAAATCAAATCCTTATACCTACGAGTCTCAGACTTACTAGTATAGATACATCTTATAGGTATTTTTCTAAATGCCCCTCCCCCCCCCAAAAAAAAAAAATTCATTTCTATAGCACTATTTCCCAAGGGCCCAGTGTCAACTACGTATACTGTATGTATGCTTACCTCAGTGTTGACAGACTTGGCTGCTGCCTGCATTAAATCACTAAAAGCATTCTTGTATTTTGATCTTATGACACCAAACTCCTCCAAAAATGAAAATTCAGGCATGACCTATGTTACAAAAATTTAATAATGTTAGTTGATAAATTTTTGGGAATCTTTAAGAGGAAGGTGATGGGTGGGTAGCTATTTACAAGAGTCCCTCCTAAGAATCAACATGAAGCTAACTAATTTATTTGTCTCACTTTCACAGAACTAGCATTGTCTTCAGGCATGCCCTTTTGACTCTCAGCCCTGTTTATAACCTGACTACATTCTTTTTTATTTCTTTTATGAGATAAAAATTAGAGTAACCATTATTTTGGATATGAATAACAAAATAAAGAACATGCAACTTCTTTGCACATGCACTCTCATTAAGCATGCCCTATCCTATCCAATCAGAATGGAGATTGATATATATGGTATATATATGAATCATAAGAAGGTTAAGATGTACCACAGGTAACACATAGAGTATCTTTAAAATCATTACCTTCATGCGAGCTAGCTGTTCACATACAACTGGAAAGACAAAATTCTTATCATTAATATGATTATTTACTGGTAGTAGACGTAGCTGGTCATATTTTAAAAAAGATAAGGTAAGCCACTGCAAGTTCGAGAGTTAACTGATGTACACCTATGTGTAATATTGCAATTACATAATATCTTGTTCTTACCATTGAATATCTTTCTACTTTTCTCAGGGTTCCTCTCATACAATGAGCACAGATGTTCCAGCAGAGACACCAAGAGAAGATAGTTAGGGACACGTCCCTCGAGGGCCAGAACACTACTATTGATGTCATTGGCTGTCACTGTGTCATCTAAGTCATTATCTGCATGATGAAATGTTGCATAGAAGAATGAATAAATATTTTTATATGTTTAGAGTTTGATACTAGTTTATAAATATATCTTTATTTTATAAATGTGACAACGGGAGTCATTGCAGGGAGTCATTCACAATATGTATATAGGAAACAACTCCACAACACACTACACGATGTACCTAACTCTCAAATTGCATTTTGATTTTTAAAGTTAAAGAGAAAAACTAGGGAAACCCAAAGAAAAATCCTTGTTATTTATTCATGCCTTTATCACATGCACTGATACCAATCCTAAATGCGTAATAGAACTCAATTTTGATTGCATGTCGCACACAACAGTCATGAAGAAACATAGGACAGCTCCTGTTTTATATTTTATGAGGTGAAGCATAGCCTTCATAAAAGGAGTCCTTTGCCTTCATACTAATATTGAATTCCTGTTTCCATTTCTGTAACAACTGTTTCATTTAAAGGGGGATTATGGTCACGTGACCAATAAATGCTAATAACCTCTTATAAGTCATTACGTTTTGGGGGAGTGTTTGGGGGATTGGCAAGATTGCATTTACTAATAAAACTGCTAAAACAACTTAGAAACCAGAAAAGAAATAACCCAAAGTATTATATTTATATAAAAAAGCATTCCTAATTTTATCCAGTGGAACAGATTTTTTGGGCTGAAAAGGTAAATACGCACTTGAAAATGTTGAAAATCTTATTAAAAACATTTGAGCTGTCGAAAGCAAATAAAATCATATTTAAGAGAATATATGGAACATACTTATGATTTGTTCAAGATTCATAAAAGCTACGTGAATCAAAGTTTTCAATGAAGAAGCTAAAAATAAATCCCAAAACCTTAAAGTACAATCAAAGTCGGACTATCAAAATATTATGAAAATCCAACCTAGTGCTACTTTTGTTCAAATTTCCACAAATAGTCTTAAACTTAGAACGTTTAATATTGTAGCATTTGAAAGAAAAAGGACCCCGGCAGCTTAAAAAGAGTTAGAGGTAATGTCAGCAATGAGTAAGCAAGAATAATTTTTATTCACGTACCGTCAAACTCGGTGAGTCTAGGAGGCTTACGTGGAAGCTCGATCTTCGAATGCGTCCATTTTGAACCATGATTTCTCGTAGAAAACGCCATAAGATACACTAAAAACACAACCTCTGCACAAAAGGAGAATAAAAGGATACTGTAGGCTACATTTTGAAGTATGAACTAGACAGGAAAGGTTATTTATGGCGGTGGGATTACTGAGGTTATTAAGAGTTCCTCAGCCTACACCGTGACATATCGTGTAAAAGAAAAATAATACGTCACGCCACAGGAACCCCATCACATCGTTTTCAGATTTTTTGGATAACACAGTAGTAACATTCTATTATAAGATGAAGCTTTATATTGCCGTTTTTCAATTAATTTTTTAATCTTTAAAAATACATAAACATCGGAATACGAAAAATCTTGAAGAAACTGCAAAAGATTTCATCATACCTTAGGAAGCCCATGCCAAGCGAAAATTTATTCACATAGTTTTAAAAAGTTTCATCTCATAAAGTATCATAGAAAAATTAATGTACAAAAATATTATTCTCAAAAGTAGCTTTCTCGTCGTAAGAAATTCTCAGAAATTTTTGAAATATTCTTTAGTTTGAAGCAGATCTAATTGTACAGCGGAGTTGCAAACTAATTCAAGATGGCGGCCGCTGCGTTAAAAAAATGTGCAAACATTTTCACAGTAAATAAGCTTCTTGTGAGCATTAGAATGAAGTCTTTTCGAGCTTTAGGCGTTAATGATATAATCAGTAATAGACTTGAGAAGTTAGGGATTGTTGAACCGACTGAAATTCAAGAAAAAGTGAGTAATCTCCTATGGAGGGAAAGTCGCACTATCTTTCAAATTCCAATAAATTTTTTGACCATGTTTTTTTATCAATATTTTATATTTTACAGGCCATAATTAAAGTATCTAGTGGAAGAAATACAATTATTAATGCGGAAACAGGAAGCGGGAAAACATTATGTAAGCATAACTAAATATTTCATCACTATCAGTTCATGTCATTTTGAATCCATTGATCCGTAGTATACAGGATCCTTTATAAACAGCAATCTTTTCATCCATAAATTATTACAACGCTAACGCCCTAAAAGTTCTAATATGCATCACCATGAAAAGATAATTTTTTGCAATTTCATTTTAAATAAGTTTATTTTTTATTCCTTAAATTTAATAGTTTTGAAAGCGAAAGTGAAATTAGATTTGTTAACTGCTCAGTTTTGCAACTTGAAGTAAGTTAAGCTTTAAAATGTGGCCAATTTTAGCATCAATTTTCCCTAACCCATTGATAAATATRCTATACTATACTATATGTATATAAATGCTTACCTTTGACATAAAATCTTCATGTATTCCAGACCTATCTTCCCTTTTTTCCCCTCTTTTCCACACATTAAATTGAAATGTTTCTGATAACCAAAGCTGATGTAATATGGGGAAACCAACACGTGCTGGGGGAAACCCCATGTACTCACATACCCTTAACTCTGATTGGTTGATAGTTTAATAAGCCTAGACAGGTAGGTTGACAAGACCATGCATGACAAAATGGATGGCTGGATTAATTTTTGTTCTCGGTTAAAATTCAGTGAAAAGAATTCTTGCATAACCGTGAATATTTTCAGTGGTTGTAGGTTCGAAATTGAATAATCCATTGAAAGTATCTTGGCTCCCCGCTTGATTACTTTGTGTTTGACCAGTGAACCAATGTATGGAAAAAGGTTAATTTATTAATGTTTTCACGTTTTTCCCAAAAATCAAAAATCAAAATCCCACATCCCAAAAATTAAATTTAACAACTCCCAAGTTGCTGGAACCCGTGGTATATTTTATCCATTTTCTGGCACCCACATGTACAAATGCCCATCTAGACCCTGCACTGAGCTAAATAGATACATGTCACCTCTCTTTCCATTATGAAGCTCCATAAAGAAAATGCTAGAATTTTTGAAAATAGCTTGTACTTTGCATGCTAGTTAAATGGCTTTATAGGCTATAATTATCAAACATATATTGTCAATGGTACAAATAAACCTGTTGTTATTTATCTATGTTTGTTTTCTAGGCTACCTACTTCCAATAGTAAACAAGCTAATCAATGAACCATCACTTCTTGACAGCCCACCTCATGCTTTGATTCTGCTTCCAACTGTTGAACTCTGTCATCAGGTTTGTAACACTATAATTATTTTCCTTGTCCTCCTCCAAATACTATATTTTCTGAATATGTAT